CACCTGTGTGCCATTTTTAACATACAAATGCAGGGATCCCTGAGGGTTCCCAACAACTCTTAGATCACCTATGAGTTCAAACTATTTCCACAAATGTTCTATCCTCATTTTCCTTCCCTCTCCCTCATGGATGCTGGTGAACCCTCCAGACTGGAGGCAGAGCGAGGACACCTTTCGGTGAGTCAAACATGAAAGGAACCTTCCACCCTGTGAAGTGAGGCCTTCCTAGCCAGCTCTGCTTTTTATTTTCATAGAAATGTGTTTTTGATGCTGATTTACAGCTTGGTGTTTTATCCTAAATAAATTATACATACCAATTTAACATTTTTAACTGTTAATTATTAATATGACAAATATATAAACACGATCTCATCATGTACGGACTGTGTAAACAAAAGCCCCTCTTGGGGACGTCAATAATACTGCCGAGGCCGAGGCCCTGAAAACAGCATGATTGCTGCTTGAGGTTGGGATGCAGCTGGACCTTTCCTTCACACCCTCCAAGGCGGTTGCTTTACCTCCCTGTGAAAGCCTTCAATGGCACAGCAACCTTCTCTCCCCATGGTAGCCTCTTTTCCAGACTTGTGGAGCTATGATACGGAGGCTTTGGTATGAGAAAGACTGGGATGTACAAGCAATTCTAGGCCTCTGATTCGCATTCCCCTGGTGGCCATGGATATTAAATACCTTTTTACATGTATGTAGACTGCTTCTGCATTTTCTCTGAATAAACACCTACTTCAAACTCTTGGCTCATTTTAAAAATGTTTATCATATTATCATTGAGTTGTGTTCTTTATATATTGTAGCTATAAGTCCCTTATCAGATATATGATTGCCAAAATACCATGTCCTATTTGGAGTTGCCTTGCGGCTGTCCTTTGAAGCACGAAACTTAAGACTTTTGAAATCCATTTCGTCTATTGTATCTCTCTCTTCACTTGTAGGTGCCAAACCATTACACAGCGCATATTTACAGCTACGCTTTCTTCTAAACGTTCAGTTTTAGCTTTTAGAGACAGGGTCGTAATTTGTTCCGAGGTCACTTTTGCGTCTGAGGAAGGCCCTGCTTCATGTTCTCACGTGTGGATCGCTTCTGTGCCAGGATTGTTTGTAAAGACATCATTATCCCCGTGCTTCAGAAGCCTCGCTTCTCACCTGGGCTTTACAAAACCACCCTTTAAGACGTGAAGGGAGTTTAATGAGATGACCCAGGGAGAAGCAGCCCATGGGACCCCTGGTGTGAAGTCCTTAGTGCCAATAACTGAACGAATGAGCCCCTAAACGCCAGCCACCATCGCTACTCTCTGGCTTGAGCGTCCCACTCCTGAAGAAGCTCATGAGGTTCAAGGCCTCATTCACTTATCACACAGTCATGGCTGTCCTCAAGACACCAGCCCGCAGCCCCTCTCCTGCACACCCCTTTCTTGTCCCATTGTCCACCCGCCCCAACTCTACCTTGACTGGAAGTATTAGATGCTTTGGCCTTGGCTACTTGATTAATTAACTGTGAACCTACTCAAATTCTTTGTCTGTCACTGGACTGAAAAAGCATGAATGAGACGTCCATCAATGAAAAGGTCTCTGATTTACACATGGCAAAGTGACACCACTAGGGATAAAAAGGTTGACCCGGGTCACCCTTGCATGTGCTGTCCAAGATGGCTGTTTCCATCCTCGGCTCCCCTGCCCTCCCAGAGAGATCCTTTGAAGTTCTGTGTCCCTCCTCCGTGGCGTTGGCAACACCTCCAGATTTAGTTTAGCTCTGAATTTCATTTGCTTCCTCTTCCTGATCTCTGAGGCAGGTGGTAGGCAGGAGGGGGCCTGGCTGAAAACCAGGTCTTCCCGATGCCTGACTTCAGGCAAAGAGGACATGAAAAGGAGGAGGAGCCAAGAGACCTGGGGTTGAAGCTGCAGAGAAAGTTCTGTTCCCCCCTATTGAGGTCAGTGAACAGTAACCTCCTGGTGCTGAAGTCTCAAAGACCGGGATCAGTTTCCTGCCTTTGAAACCCCTGGAGCTCTGGACACTGGAGGGGACAATACTTGGGTGATGTGTCCCAGGACTTTAGCCTCTTGGGCGAGCAGAGGGAATTGTGGAGGGGAGAAGAGTTGGGGGCTAAGCATTGGTCAAGTCCTATTGGGACTGGTGGGGAAATGAGCAACAGCAGAGATGGTTGATCAACTACTTGCTCATTCATTCATTCATTCATTCACTCTGTCTTTATTATCTGCCATGAGCTAGGCATCATTCCAGGCATGGGAACAATGCAGGGGACTATAAAGAAGGCAGTACCTGATCCCCTGGACATTAGATACTAACAAGAGATGTCTGGGAATGCATGGACAATCTTGTACTAGCTAACACAACAGCTGGACATAAATGTTCCCAGAAAGACCTGGGCTGGGAGGAATGGTCTTTCTCATAGTGTAGTTGGATGAGGAAGGCTATGCCCCTCCCACATTCAGTGACAACCCTTTGGCCTCTGCAGCCACTGGGACAGTTGACATGCTTCCATGAAGGGCATCTCATGCTGCATGGGACAGCTCACAAGGACAATGACTTTTACTTCTGTTTGCTGCTGTTCTCTAGGCCAGAAGAGTTCTTCCCAAAGGCTGGGGGAAGGCCCATGCTTGACCCTCCAAAGCAGGGGCATTTCTAGGGTTCTGTGAACCTGGAAGAGGTGACTGACTTAGTCACAGCTTAGAGTCCTGAGTGAAAAGGGGGACCCAGGGACTAGATAGCAAGACTGGTGGATGGAAGGAGGGCCTTTACAGTTTTTTTTTTTTTTTTTTTTTTTTTTTTGTCAGTGTGAGGTAGACAGCCATAGGAGGGCTTGGCAGGCGAGTAATATAATCTGAGAGGTGCAGTGACAGATGTCTTTGGGCTAGACAAAGAGGGACACCAGTCCGGTGAGCAGGTTACCGCCGGAATCCAGGGACGAGAGTATTCGGTTCAGTGCACAGACAGAGAAGGTCACAGGGACGAGAAAAGTACAGAGATCTGTCAGTGTAAACACAGCACTGAGCTCAGGGATGGGATGATGGGTGACAGAGCTGGAGGGACAAGGGGGAGTATTCCTGCATCAAGGACTTGCTGACGTCAAGGTTTATGTGTGGCCCCACTCTGCCAGATTCAGATGTTTCAACGAAATATTTTTGCACCATGCCTTTCTTCCCTCCCTTGGTACAGATGACCTCAACAAGCCTTGTTCCAGGCCCGGCTCTGTGGGTGGCCACATAATAGGAATGAGCAATTCAGTCTCCCTCTGCCAGGGATGAAGGTGGTGTCTCCAAAGTGCAGCACACCATATTGGGCATGTTGAGGAAGCAGGGAAGGAAAAACCCTCATTGAGAAGACATCTAGGGAGACCAGGGTCCACATTTCTAGAGTTTAGAGGGATGGGGGAGATTCTGTTACTGTTCTACTGGAACGGGTCATTATTGTACAGAAGCCTCAGATGGGGCTGATGAACACGTGAGTTCGCCTCTTACCTGGCTCAGCTGCACTCGCTTTTCTTATCTTAAATATGGGGCCGTGAAAACTGACTCACAGGGCAATGCGAGTTAAGTGCCATGTGTGAATCGAGTCTCTGTATGTGTGATCTCATTTTGTCCTTACAGACAAAAGCTAAAGCTTTCGGAGGCTCTTGGAGAGCCATCTGTCCAAGGCAGAACATTTGCTGTCCTGTGCAGTTATATATGCTCCAGCCACCTCTGGTTTTGTCATTCCCGGGACCATGACAACTGTTCCATATGTCTTTGCTGATTAGCCACATGGATGTTTCAAACAGAGGTTACGCAACACCCAAACCACAGCATTCTGTATTCCGGCAGTCTGTGCCCAATATGGCGACTGCCTCCAAGTCTCCCGATTGCTGGACCGTGAGATGGAAATAACTTTCTAATCTAGGGAAGAGGGTTACGGCTCAGCTCGCTCATTCATCTCCTTCCCACTGACCCCAGGACCTTGGATGTCAAGCAGAGTCTGAGATACCCAGTAAGCTGGGTATGTCACTTCTGATCCAAAGTAAAGCCAACATCTTCCAACTGTGTGCACTAGAGCAGGGCCCAAGGGAGCTATATGTTCCAGGGCTCTCTACAGACAGCATTGGCCTTTATTGTGAGTAAGAACTCAGTCTGTTTATCCACTGGGATTCTGGAGCGGATTCATTATGGCATCCGATAGAGTCTATATGTTGCCTTATGGGACTGCTCAGAGAATAAGAATCCAAACTTAGTATAAGTGGGTATGTAATATATCTCCAGTGAAGAGCTTACTCCCCTGCCCCCATTTCCTCCTCTGCAGCCTTCTTCACTGGGCTCCGTTTCCATGTATGAAGCTGCCTGACTGTGGGCCACACTCCCCCAGCTTGCCACCTGCCATCACGCCGCTTTCCCCATCCAGCCCAACTTTATCATCGCGGCGCGGCATTTTCTACCCATTGTGTGTGGCCGTGCTGCGTGGCAACATGAAGAGAACATTCCGGAGAGCCTCTTAGACCCCTCCTGACAGACTCCCCTCCCTGTTTCCCTCTCTTGCTCAACCACGCCTCTGTCTTCACCTCGCTGTAGGACTTGCACCCTGGTCTACTGGATGTGAGAATAAATTCCAGCTCACCATAGCTTTAGTTGTCCTGGGCCGGCCTGACCGGTACCTACTCGCTGCCAGCAGCATCATCACGTTCCTGTTGGATGCCCAACCCCACTTACACGGCCCTTTTCACCACGCTGTAGGGCTTGCAGTGTGAAATATGAAGGTTCCCTGAAGCCCAGCCTAGCAGTAGTTCTACCACCTCCTCGCTGGGCAAATACACCAGGAACTACAGTTCCCAACAGTCTTTGTTCTTGTCCTCTTATTAAGACAGGCACTTCAACTCCCAGCAGCCTTTGCCTCTTGTCCTCTTCTTAAGTTCACTGCATTTCCCGATTCTAAAATGCATTTCTCACTAAACCTCAGACTAGCAACTGATGACAGAAAATTAGAGATGGCAGGGACTGACCTGGCTCCATGTCAGCACTTTGGGAAGAGTTGGTGTCCGCAGGCCCTGCAGCCCCCTCTCCAAGGCCATCGGATCCCGGAGGACAGGGCAATGTGCTTTCTGTTGAGGAAGAGAAGAGAGTAGATTAGGGGACAGCATGACTGGTCCCCAGCTTTCTCACAGTCCCCTCCCCAGCACCCTTTATGAACATGGGGTTTGTTCTGGTTCCATGGCCACGAAGCAAAGCAAGCGGAGTTCCAAACCCCGAGGACCTTGAATGAAATGCCATCTTCATAGCCTTGCCATGGCGCTCAGGAGAGCCATCCCCCGTACTGCACTTCTTTTTCTGTGAGTGTGCTAACATTGTCTTCCAGTCATTTCCTGCATGGATGTCTTCCTATACACTCAACCCACCAGGACAGGGGCTAAATAGCGAGGCTCTGCAACCCAGGTGCCAGTGTAGGGCTTGAAGCCCAAGAGCAACAGCAACTGCCTGGTAGACGGAGATGATTGATCCTGTCTGTGATGGGCGGAAGGCACACGGCATGGGGCTGCAGTCTTGGGGCAGTCCCAGTGGTGGCATGGGCAGGAAAATAAGGGAAGCCCCTTGGCTCTCAGGAACTTGACATCTGGCTTAGGAAGTGGATCTTCTTGGCTGGGATGAACCAGAAAGGGTCTCAGAGTCACTTGGGCAGGGGCTGTCCCATGAAAGAACTCTGCACTGGCCCTCTTGCTATGACAACCTCTGTCAAATCATGTTTCTTTCTCGGCCTCAGTTTCTTCTTTGGAAAGCAGAAAGCTCTGACCTGGGCAACAATGAGAACTTCTTTTTGGCCTAGAATTCAAAAGCTATGAGTCTGCTTAATCAGTACCACTAGTGTCTTTACCCAATAAATGTCACATGAATGTAAGAACTTCCATCCCATTGGAAAGAAAGGTAGGGAGAGGCTTTACGTCATTTGCCTTTGGTGATCGCAACAAAAGGAACTGGAATCTGAACACAGATTCTCAAAAGTTGCAGGTCCGTGCAACATAACAGATACCTCCAGATGTCCTCTGCATAAAGATCCTGCAGGCAAAGGCACTTAACGTATCTGAGTTTTGTTCTCAAGCCATTATTTGAGAAGTTCCCTGAATACATATTTGCCAAATATACTTAGGAACCCTGCTAAGAAGTCATTATTGTCTCTTATAAGGTGAGGAATTACTGGTAATTCCCATTAAAAACAAAAATCCTGTAAGTGTGAAAATTTGCCAACTCTCCCAGTGTCTCCGATATTTCTTTCCTGTGAATTCTAATTATTCCAAACAGAGACTAGCTAGCAGCCAGGAGCATTTCCAGACTCTGCCCAAATGCAGGGCCTCTCACCTACTCCCCAGGGTCAAGCTCTACCGACCTCATGAACCAAAGAGTCCGGAGAAAAACTGAAAACACTCTTCTAAGTCAAAATATAAGGCTGAGGAGATGGCCCAGCCCAAGACCTAAGTTTGGATCTGCAGAATCTATACACAAAACCAGGCCTGGTAGTATGCATCTGTAATCCTAGCAGCTGTGGGAAGGGAGGCAGGCAGGGAAATCCCAGGAAACAGACTGGTAACTAGCCTAGCCTCAGAAGTTCTAGTCGAGAGAGTGAGAGAAAGAGAGAGAGAGAAAGAGAGAGAGAGAGAGAGAGAGAGAGAGAATGAGAGAGAGAGAGAGAGAGAGAGAGAGAGAGAGAGACCCTGACTCAAATATATGGAAAGCAGTTGAGAAGCAACACTTAAGGCTGACCACCTGCACACATATGAACACCATCATACAAACACACACACATATACCAATGAGGATAAAAGCTAATATACTAAGTCAGGGTATGAGTCTCATTCTATGCCCCTCAATTGACTCTGGGACTTTGTCATTGCTTTCTATTGCTGTGACAGCCACAATGACCAAAAGCAACGTGGGGAAGAAAAGATTTATTCCATCCTAGGGCTTACAGTCTAACACTGAGGGAAGCCAAGGCACAAACTCAGGCCTGGAACCTAGACGCATGAACTGAAGCAGAAGCCATCGAGGCTTGCTCAGCCTGCTTTCTGATCCAGCCCAGGGACAGCACTGCTCACAGTGGGACAGACACTCCTACATCAACCGCTCATACAGACATCGCTCCGCAGACAGGCTCCTAAGCTGATCTGATGGCGGCAGGTCCTCAACTGCGGTTCCCTCTTCCTGGATGACTCTAACCAGCCTGCAAAGATTTAATTCCTATTTACACGGCTTTATTCATGAGAATGTCATCCCCTGAGGCTTCAAAGAGAGCAGGAACCTGCCTTGTTCCGCTCCACCCATGGGTGAGATAAAGCATGCCTGGTGTCTGTGTCTGGACTTATCCCAGAAGATCTGTGGCTTTTAAGATCTACATCTGCTGGGCTTGTGCCCAACGATCCTGTGGGGTCCTAGGCATTTCCACTGATCTGGGTGGACAATATGTGACTGGACCCTTGTCTGGGTTTTAAGATTCCGCCATAACCCACACAAGCTACAGGTGAGAGCTGTGCACCCGGACTGCTCACCTGGAGGAAGAAGATGCCATGTCTGCCCCTTTCCTGCCTCTGTTACGACTGAGGCCTCTGGATGAATCACCTCATCTGCGACTTCCTTTCCAGTTCTCAGCCCCACATTCCTCCTCTTTCACACAGCCTCCAGGAAGCATTATAATAATGACTGCACATAAAACCAAAATATTCACTGTGTCCTTGTTTGCTTTCTATGGCTATGGTAAGTGCCATGACCAAAAGCAACTTGGGGAGGAGAGGGTTTGTTTCCATTTACAGGTTCTTGTCTGTCATGAAGGAAACCAGAGCAGGAAGGCAACCTGGAGGCAGGAAATGAGGCAGAGACTAAGGAGCTAAGGAGGTCTGGTTACTGGATTACTCCTCGTGATCTGTTCATCTTGTATCAAAAAAAAAAAAAACAAAAAAACAAAAAACAACAACAACAAAAAAAAAACAAACCAAAAAACCAAAACCTCAGGATCACTTCCTATAGGTGGAACTGCCCACGGTGATGTGCTGATCTGCACCTTCTTACATCAATCAATAATCAAAATTCTACCCCACAGACTTGCCTTGAAGCCAGTCTTAGGGACGCATTTTCTCAGTAAGATTCTCTCTTCCCAGATATGTCAGGCTTGTATGCAGTTGACAAAAGCAACCAGCACATACGGGTGGCTGAAAAAGTTCTAACATTCCACTGAAGAGAAGACTAGTAAGGAAAGGATGCCTTCATTCATTCATTCATTCATTCATCCTTCACTTATTCATATGATGAGTCTGATGCTGGGTGGATACAGTGAGGACAAAATCCTGACTTTACAGGCACGTTACGGGCAAAGAAAATAAGGTTTGGCCACAAAATCTAGGATGTCCCTGCAGTTTCCTAGGAGGTAGGGATAAACCCTAGGCAAAGGCAAGATGGAGGGGTCTTCTCGGCTGAGGAAGTTCAGTCTTGTCCCAGGGATACAGAGTAGGGATTGAGAGGGGTTCTCTGAGAAACGGAGCAAAAGTACAGGAGGAGAAAAAATGGCAAACACGTGAACTTATCTCACAGGGTGGCTATGTACAGGATAACACATACTACAAGCCAGGGCACAAGAGTGTCAGCGTGCAGGGTCCCGAAGGCCAAGTCAGATTGCAAGTGTTGCTTAGCAAAAGGAAGGCAAGGAGAGCTTTTAAGAAGAGGTGTGGTTTTACTGGAGATCTTCTCTAGACAGGTGAAGAGTCTGAAGAGGAGGCAACCAGGGCAGGAAGCTCCTGGCTATAGGCTAGGCACTTGGCTGGCTGTAGGTATTTTGATCTCCTTGATCCTTATAAATAATTGCAGGAGGCAAGCATTATCCTTTCTGACTTGCTGACAAGGAAGGGAAGCTATGCGGGCCCTAGACTGCTTGCCCCTAATCCTCAGCCAGGAACCAGTGGAGACACGCTAGCTCGCAACCCTGTCTATTCCCTTACAAATGTGCTTAGAAGCACGTAGGATTCTGTACCGAGCGTGTCTACATAATACACCTGCTTCTGCTTGCGCGTCACACCCTGTATACCCCCAGGATGTTTATGGCTCCGTCACCTCCTGGGCCATCCTGACAGAGAGTCCATGGCTTCTGTTAGTTAGTGTCTCCCCTAAAGGACCACAGACTGAGGAGGTGAAATGCTCCATGGTCCCTGGGAGGGTGCCATTCTTCACAAAGTGGGAGGGGACCCACCCTCCTCTCAGCCAAGCAGTGCTCACTCTCGTCCTGCATTTTCACCCAAAGCTGAGATCACTGGAGCAGCAGGCTCCAAAACTCCACGTACTGTTTGTTGTGCGCACAGAGACCCGGGTGTGCATCAGAATACGTGAGGGCGCCAGGGCGTCTTTGCCCATGGAGGAGATCACTATTTTAGCTCAAAGCAATGGATCTCTCTGTTGTTGGTCTAAAACTTCGGAACTATGAGACAAAGTGAGTCTCTTTCTCCTTACTGTCCTTCTTGGGTATTTCTGCCAGAGGGACATTGAGTTTACCAGATGCTCCAACTGCATGAAGAGTCCTCCAGGCAGCCTTCCCTGAATAGGGAGCTCATCTCTGAGCCCGCCTAGAGCACCACTAGCTCCCTGGCTTGAGGCCAATCTCCTGCCTTGTTATGGTTTCTCATTAAAGGAGATAAAAGCAATGAACGGCACAGAATAACCACCGGGCCCTTAGCACACCTATGGTAGCATGTGGTGAAATCATTCCTTCTGTTTATTTCTTTATTTTGTTTTTAAAGAAAGTCTATTGCCGAGACTGGCCTCGCCTTAGCCCATGACAATCCTCCTGCCTCGGGCACCAGTGTGTGCTTCTTGTCTTTTAGAACACAATGCTCTGAGCATGCTAGCTCCTCAGGGAAGAAGCCAGAGTGGGGAATGTTAATTATCAGTCAGACAGGATCTAGAATGACCTAGGAGACAATTCCTTAGGCATGTAGGGAACTTCTATACTGAATTAATTCATGTAGGAAAACCCATCTAAATTGTGGGCAGTGCCATGCCATGGGCTGGGGTCCCAGACTAAATACAAGGGAGAAAACAAGTTGAGCGCCAGCCTTCACCTCTCCCCTTTCTC